CCTGAGGTTGCTGAAATTTCCACTCCAGGCTATAAGGACCTCGTAGCTGACCCTGCTTCAGCAGGGCCCTCCTGAGTACCCTTCCAACCTGAATTATCCCTGGTCCATCGTGTGATCCTTGCTTTGTCTTACTCTGTGATTCCTTTCCTCTTTTGACTTCTACTGCCATTACATTAACCTTATCTCTTTGTACAAGCATCAGGTCAAACTTGCTGAGCAAATATACTCGGTCAGAAGGCTAACACCACCTCCCGGTACCCAGGCTTGCTCTGGAAGATCTGCATAGGCCAGAGTTATACAGCTCAGACATAACCACAGCCCCTGTGAGACAGTGATAGCACAGCTGTGGCGCTCCAGGTTCATTCATCTCACCACTTTGGTGGCATACCCAACGTCTACTTTTACCATAGTCACTTTTTCAAGTGACTTTTAAAAGATATGCTATGGCAACAAGATAGGACTTAAAAGCACTGCAATTAATAATGGATTGCAATAATGTTCTGATTATTAGCTGCTTTGTGATAAGTTGTCCATAGAAATCTCTTTAACGAACTGGAGCCATTTTATTTTGTAGGATCAAAAGTAAGAATGTACCAAAACTAAAGCATGCGCGTGAAATTAGCAAAGTGTAAAATATGCAATAGTGACCTGCAGGTTTGATTTATCATCTTTCTTGACAAGGTGCTCCTGTTTGACACTGACAATGCTAATACTGCAGTGGAAGCTGAATGTGCAAACACGTATTGATTACATTTCTTTTCATTTTACAGGCTTGGTGAAAAAATAAGAATAACGTCTGTCATATTTGTGGTATTAATTGCATTCTGTGATGGTTTACATTGCATTAGATATTTTAACTGCTGCACTCATCTAAAGACTTACTGTTCTCCTACAACTCGTAAGATCAGCCTTTCTTTAATGTTGTCTTAGAACTGATGATCAATGACATAGATTGAAAATTTCTCTCAGCTGCTAATTAAGAGCAAATTAGGACATGTCACTGCTATTTTCACTTGTTGCTATGAATCTATATACAAACCAGTTCTGCAGAACTCTCCTTCCCAGCCTTGATTACAGCAGCATTTTCCTGTGGGAGTGCAGTGCCCGTTCCGACAATGCCTTGAGCATTCAGATGTCAGTACCTGTGCAGACTGAGCTGTTCTTTTGCATTCTTCAGGGACTAAAGGCCTGTATAAAAATACATAAACCAAGCAGGTAGTTAAAAGCTGAGGTCAAGGAGAAAAACTTTGGTTTTTTTTATTAAAGGCCTGATTCTCTTTTATGGTATTATCAGTGCAAGAAATCGGTGTTCTAAGGGGATTGCTTTTTTTTTTTCCAAAAACACCAATAAACATAAAGATGATATGTTACATTACAGAAAAATAGTGTGATTTGCTATTCTTTCATATAACTGCCTTCAGAGATCTTCTACAAGACTAAATAATAGTCCTTGAGAATTCTTGAAGCTTGAACCTGGCAAAACCAGCTTGCTGAAGAGCTTATTGCAGGCAGCATATGTGTCTAGATAATATCATTATTAGACGTGCTAAATTTTACTGATTGTGTGGCTTTTCTTCAGGGAGCACAAATAGTCATATAATTCAGTCCAGAATCTGATGGTGACTTTTTGCTTTTCTAGCTGATTTATATTTCTGTTTGTATGCTGAGTAATCTGAAGAGCAAGTTTTATGTCACACATTATGACATGCGTAATAATTTTGCAAAAGTATTACCTCTGTCTACAAATTCAGTTTGACATTGCAGATTTTTTATTTCCATATTTTCATGAAATCATATTTAGATTATGCATTCCTGATGTTTATTTAAGCATCTGAACATCAGGAAAGACTTTTTCATTATGAGGGTGACCGAGCCCTGGCACAGGTTGCCCAGAGAGGCCGTGGAGTCTCCATCCTTGGAGACAGTCAAAAGCCATCTGGACACGGTCCTGGCCAACTGGCTCTAGGTGGCCCTGCTTGAGCACAGGGGTTTGACCAGGTGGCCTCCAGAGGTCCCTTCCAACCTCAGCCATTCTGTGGGTGATTCTCTGAAAAGTATGCATGAAAGAAATTTTAGTTCATCTGACTTAAAATATTTCTGTTATTGTTTTTTTGTTGGGCTTCGTAGTGTCAAGCCTTATGTAACATATTTTTTTCTGTCAGTCTACAAAATATTTTGGATGCTCAGTAGCCTTTTTTATTTACAAAAGCACAGCATTATCTTCCTTAACAAAGAAGGAACTGTAGTGTTCCTTCTGTAGTGTTAAGCGTGTACAACACTTAAGTGTGTTAACTTAAGTGTGCCCTAACTGTTGATATGACTTCCAACACTTTTTTAGATGTTTATTGTTGGTTGCTTTGTTGGGTTTTTTTCATCTAGTTCTATGTCTTCATGCTGACCTCTTATTTTATTTGCCGAGTTCGACAGCTAGAGACTGATAGGATCATGACAAGGCTACAGGTTCCCAGTGCAGGTACCATGTTTTGTCTCTGCTTGTGGGTTCGATTGCACGGGAATAAGTTGGGAAAAGAATGTCAGGATCTCCCAAGAGATCTAAACAAGTAATTGAATGGGAGCATAATGACAAATTAAGTTAATTAGTGACAAATACAAAATTATTAATTCTCAATGAAATAATTTGAACTACTGCCATACGTTCCAAAGCTTGAAATTTGCAGGACAAAGATTCTAATAGTTTTGTGGAGAGCTCAGAGAAACCTTGGCTAAGCGTCCAGCTAGAATCCAAACAAACCAAAACAAAATTGTATGAGATGATAGAATAGAAAATAACGTTGTTCATTATACTGACATCAGTATTAAACCCCCAATTACATGCAAATAGCTGGAATAGCAACTTGTGCACTGATTACTCTGTCAAATATTAAAATCCTAGATTGATACTCCTCTGTGGAGAAAAGGATAGTCTTTGGAGTCTGAGAAAGAAGGGATATGATAGAGGTGCAGAAAACAGTGGAAGATAAGAGGAGGAAAATTGGGCATTCTTGTTTATCTCCCATTTCAACATCAGAAGAAATATTGGGGGAAAAAATTAAGCTAAATAAAATAAAATTAACTAGTTGAACTCACGGCTTCTAAGATATCAACGAAGCACATGTTCTTGTAGGATTTTAAAAAGATATTTCTGTGCACAATGGGGCCCATTCAAAGTAATACTAGATAGGGTAAAATAATTTTTAAGAAAAATAAGCACTCATACCTAATGTCATACAAGTCCCTCACTAGCTGACTGGGCTTACTCTTCCCCCCTCCCATTTTGGCATGAAGCTTGTTAATGGTACATTACAGGGTTTCTTGCGTTTTTCTTTGAAACGGAGTAATAGAGTACAGGCTCACTGGTTTGTTTCACTGTAGCACTTTCTCTGCTCAGTCTTAATTGCTACCATGATTACTTAAACATCCATACAGAAGAACTGGTTCCCCAAAGATGTTAAGGACAGAAAGAATGTGTAGATACATCTTTAGTGTAGCACCAAGCACTTTTGAGAATCAGACTTAAGGTCCTGTATTATTTAAGGGCTTTGAAATATGTCTTGACACCTTTCGTGCAGCATATTTGAAACTCTTTCAGGTTTTGTTTTTACATATTTCCACAGCTGTCTTTTAAATATAATGCATTATTTTTTTGACCTGTAAGGAATTCCAGTTCTGTAGTAATGAGTAATTACACATGATCTGGTTAAGAAAGTTCCTACACTTAAAAATTATATGTGAGATTCACAGGCAATGCTGCTTTGGAAACAGTTCTACAAAATGATATGATTTTCAGTGGAGACTTGTTCAGATTTAAAGTTAAAAGATCTGTGTTCGAATTCCTACCTCTGAAAAAAAAATAAAATCCAAATTTGAGTCGATTTCTTTATAGCCAACTGCATAGGAGACAACATTCTTTCTTCATCTGTCGCTATTAAAGCTCATTTCTTTCAAGTTACTTTAAATGGGAATCTTCTCTTTTTCTTGCTCAAGCACATGTGCAGTACTGTGTTTAGCAGGAAGCATAACCCCAGACTCCTGGAGCATCTCTTGGAAAAGCGCTCCAGTTGCTTATCTTTAGCAAAGAATGACCTTATAAGTCACAGAGATATTTTATTTGTGAAGATAATGATTTATTTTATTAATAGATGTATTTATCTATGATAGTCCTGGAATATATGCTTCTTTTTTTATTTGCATTTCATTAGGGAGGCAGAAATCATACTTTCTTGAATCCAGCAAAGCATGGCTGGTCACTTTTATGATTTAAAGTTTTCTTTAATATAACCTTGCCTTTTATTCTACCATCAATCAATAACTTGCACTCATCAGCCTCGGATAATATTTATTAGCGGTGGGGTGGAGTAGAAACAAAGATGGAAAAAATTCTGGTTGGCAGAGTGCCTTAGGAGAAGAGGAACACAAATGCAGCTGCAGCAGAATCCTTCTTGTGTGTGAGAAGAATTACTGGTTTTCCTTAGTTGTACTATGGGAAAAGCCACACTTCTTTCTCAGGATTTGAATGCCGTTACGATACCAACACGTATCAAGAGAAAGTCTCTGCCCCACAATACTTACACTTTGCATTCTTAAGGCTTTAAAGGGGTGGAAATTTTCAGGCTCAGCCTAAGTTGAACTGAATCTTACAAAGATAACATAAGTCTTGAAACTGACTGTTGGGACTTGATCTTTCCAGCACTTTAGACAAGCCTATGATTTTGTTTATATAACTAGTGCTTCGCTGTGTCTCCTGACGTGGAAAATGGAGGGGAATAGATGGAGCCACACTGTGGGCTAGAGAGAATATTTTCCTTGTCTCCCTCAATCTATAAAACTCTAAAGGGTACAGCTTGATTACTCTTACAGTAAGCACTATTTGGTCCGCAGAAAGTCAGCCAAAAATGTAGCTGATAATGACTATTTATATGGTCTGTACAATTCTAGTTATCTTAAAGAGCTGTTCATATATACAGTACAGTACAGTATATCTTGCTTGTTAAAACATGCTT